GAATAGAATAGTACTTTCGGTTGTTCGTTTTGTCTAGCCTGAAAGATGAAAAATTTTCTGAGCTAAACAGATTCATGGGCAGTCAGAAATGTTCAAATGAATGGTTAGAGTCTTGGAAGAATAAGATTGATAGACTTTTTTTTTTTTTTTTAAAGTCTGGGAAGGGAATGTGTTTGGATCTCTTTCAGAACAGGCGTACAGCTTACAAATAGTTATATCCCATGTATACTCCCAAAGGGCATTCACTATAGAGAAATTTGTTAATAAGAAGGAAAAATGGCATGCTCTACACACGTCAACTAACCTACCTATTCTCCTGGCTACTCTAGTGTTTGTTCAATAGGAATATGGACAAAGCAACCAGGGTGGCAGAAATGGAGGAGAGTCAGGAGGACTCAAATGCTAATGCTACACCTGGGTGCCTAATTTGCCAACAGACTAATAACTGAGTCTCTAACATGGAACTATTTCTTAAGAGGACTAATTGGCCACTAGAGGCAGGTTATTTCCACTGGGCCTCTTCTATGATGGGGGAAGCAGGTATTTCTTCTCAATGGAACAAACTTATTCTGGAAATGAATTTGTCTGAAATGCTTCTGCATCATCTAAGCATGGGTTTACAAAAAACATTTAAAAAATTTTTTTTAGTTGTAGTTGGACACAATACCTTTATTTCACTTATTTATTTTTATGTGGTGCTGAGGATCGAACCTAGGGTCTCACATGTTTGAGGCAAGCACTCTACTGCTGAGCCACAACCCCAGGCCCTACAAAAAAAATTGTAACTCCTGTCTTGCTATTTGGGACAATAAAGGAACTGACTTTTCAAGCAACCATGTTTTTTGTCTTCTCCAAGAGTAAATACATAAAGGCTCATATTCAAGTCTTGGAAATAGGAGTGGCACAGAATTTTGCTTTCACTTATAACACCTTTTAAGCTCTGCTGGTTTAGAGTCTTAATGCTTCTCCCAGGAGACACAATAATGGTTCCAATGAGAGACTTCTTCCTGACCACTGAACGAAGGGCGGAAGACGTCATTCTACTAACTCAAGTGATGGATCACAATTACCAAGAGAAAACTGTGTTATGACACACTGAGGGTGGGTGGGTGCGGGTGGGCACTGTCTGGGGCCCAGAGGGAATGTTCTCTTGGGCTCCTTGTTATGTTTTAGATATGAGGAATACCCTAAAAGCTCATGTGTTAGATAATGCAAAAACACTTAGAGGTGAAATGATCAGGTCAAAACAGTCTTAATTTAATCAGTGGGGTGTGGCTGAAGGAAGTGGATCATTGGGGATGTGCCTTTGGGGTTTATATTTTGTTCATGGTGGTGGGAGCTCTCTCTCTCTCTCTCTGCTTTCTGATTATCATACAGTGAGCTGCTTTTCTCTACCTTGTTTTGCTTCCTTCTACCATGTTTTGCTTCATGTTGGGCACAGAACAATGGAGTTGGCCATCTATGAACTGAATAAAAATGAATATGAATATTTTGCAGATAATAAATAAATATTTTATTCTAAAATTTATACGGAGAAGAAAATACCTATTGAAAAACAAAGAGAACTAATACTACCCCATCTTTAAGACCTACTATAAAACCATGTTATGTTTTTGATATTAGGTATCCCCAAAAAGCTCAGGTGTCTGACAATACAAAAAATTTAGAGGCAAAATGATTGTTTTATGAGGGCTTTAACCTAATCAGTGCATTAATCCACTAGTGTGGATTAACTGGGTGGTCACTGAGGGCAAGTAGTATGTGGCCGGAGGAGGTGGATTTTGGGGAAGTGGCGTATCTCTGGGGGCATATATTTTGTCAGTCATGAAGGGAGTCACTCATTCTGCTTCCTGGTGCCTGAGCTGCTGTATTCCCATGATCAGGTAAAGAACCTAGAGTAGCTGAGGGCAAAAATACTTAATGAGATGTGAAAGAAGGAAACCAGAGATGGTAAAATCTGACCAATAATAGATACAAGGACTACCGTAACTTTTCATATTTTCTCTTTGCTAATTGTGATATCTCTTTATTTTTATGTAACCATCTTCTTCTTTTCCCCATATTTCTTAGTTGAAAATGAACTTTAAGAAATAAAGTTATCAGAATATTCAGAGACATTATGATAGAATATATAATTTATATAGATAGCCATTTTTGTTGGGATTGTGCATTTCCTCATTTTGGGCAGAGTATAAGTACAACCTCACTTTTATGAAGGACAGCTGTATCTTTTTAGGTGGAAACACAGTTGTTTGTTGTTGAATTAAATTTGAAATGTGCTTGGAGGCATTCATATAAAAGATCAGCCCTCAAAGTAGTGAACTGTGACAGCTATTTACTTCCTCTCAACTCTACTTCATTGCCCTAGTTTGTGTTAAAGGGTGTGGATTATATAAACTTTTGTCAGGTGGATATGTTAAAGCTTGGTTAGTAGAGGGTATCAGAGGGATACTGCAGTAGGAAGGCTTTTGCTGTGCATTTAGGGATGGGAGTGCTAAGTGTTAGAGGAGAAAGTTTGTTGTGCTGGTCCCCAGCTTTGGAGCCCTTCTATATCTTGAGGCAAAAAGCTGTAGTGGTAAGGTTCTGCTTGCGTGTACTGTTCAGCAATACCCTCCTCACCAGCCTGGATGAAATTACTATGGACCAGCTCTGGCCCAGGGCAATCCAGTGAACTTCACCATCTGCTGGTTTGCAGCTAGCATATTCACCAGCCAAATCTGAATTTCAGTCACGGGAAGGGGTGCCCCTTTCAATTTATCCCTTTCTTGGGAATTCTCCCTCAGCTGTGGGATATTCTCCTTTCTCGTTCTTAGTAGCTATTAGGGTTTAGATGTAAGGTGTTAGGACAGTGCATTAACCCACTTGAATGGATTAACTGGGTAATAACTGTAGGCAGGCAGGATGTGGCTAGAGGAGGTGGGTCGCTGAGGTATATATTTTGTCCCTGAAACTATAGTAACCATAAAACAATAACAACAACAAAAAAAACTATAGTAAGCTGAGCTTACTCTATTTTTGCTTACTTGTGCCATATCCTGAATTGCTTTCTTTCTCCACATCTTTTCTCCATGATATTTTGCCTTACCTTAGGTTCTGAGTAATACAGTCAACTGTCTAAAGACCGAGACTTCTGAAACCATGAACCTCAAAATTTTCCTCCTTATCAGGTCTTTTGGTCACAGTAATGAAAAAGCTGACTAAAACAGTAACTGATCTCTTCAGGGGTTAAGAATTCTTTAAATAAAACTGTTCATGTAAGTAAAATGGCTATATTTCTATAAACTAAAATATTATTACTCCTACTCTTAGTACTAGGTAGTGATCATATTTTGTGGGTACCATAATGATCACATCCCACTGACATTATGCTATAATAATATTAACAAAACCTCTAAATTATTTTATTATTATATGCCAACATGATTCTAGGTAGTTTCTCTGTATTAACTCATTAATCCTAATAATCATCCTAGATATAACAAATATTTCGTACATACAAAAAAACTGACCTAGAATTGTTCTTTAATATAGAGATTAAACAAATTTGTATGTTTATTATGAAGTTCATGATGACTATATTAATGCATACCATGACTTTGTCTTTTAAAACCTTATGCATTCCTATTCATTACTTTAAAAAGTTAAACATCACTGTCTTAATCACAAACTAATAGTAAATTATTGTAGCTGAATGATGGTACAAAGTCTTCACAAAAATTTTTCTACTATTTATAACAGCAAGAGAGAAAATATTCAAAAGAAAAATAATATCCTAAAACATAACTGCAAGCAATATCAACCTGGCTTATTCTGTCTTAATGGCTAATTTAACACAAATCCATTAAAGGCAGTTTCATAAATATAGAGGAAAATAATAACAGCCAAAGATTTAAATAACAAAGAACTAATATATAATTTATTTGTAAAAATAGTCAACCATATATTTTATTCTACCAGTCAAAAAGCAAAGATTTTATATCAATAAAATCATTAATATAAAGTTTCAGAACTCAAGACATGACTTTCAAAATGCATCTAAACTGACATTTTCCATACTTTGACAATTAAATTTAATAGCTATACACTAAATTCAGTTAGCTGCAACTGCAAGTCTTATTTTAAAAGCTTAAGTCTCTTTTCAATATTATGGGAAATGTCATTGAAAAAATTACATTTCTATGTCACCAAAGCATAATTTGAGGCTTAAAAATCTGAAGAACTGCTAAAAGACCAAATTCCCTAAGAATACTGTAACTGATCATCTAATTATCCTTCTCCTCTTTGATTTAATAATTATGATGAGCAATTTCTTTTAATAGGTAGGCACTGCTGTCAGAGATTTAAATAGATAAGTTCATTTATTTCTTAGCACTAGCCAATGAAATAGATGCTGTTACTGCCTCATTTTACAAATGAGCAAACTGAGGTACAGAGATTAAGCAATTTGCTCAAGAAGTGGTAGAGTATGTGGCTCTAGAGTGTAAACCCTTACAGACTTCTGTTGAGAGCTTTGAGTAGTAGAGCTTGCTAAAGCCTCATGACAATACTCATCCAGGTTCTACTATTATTATTATTATCCTTGTTTCATAGACAAGAAAACTAATATTTGTCCAGTCACATAACTATGAAGTGACAAAATTAGGATTTTAATCTAGTCTGCCTTATTCCACAAATAATTTCTTATCTACTACAATATACTGTTTCTCAATAATCAATAATATTATAAATCCAAATGCCAAGCTAAATCAGATCAAATCCCACACAAAACTATGGGTCAAACAGGAAGTGGATACAATGTCACAGTGTAAGCTTCAAGAAGTATGAAATTTCAGTCAATTCCTATCAGATTACTTCTGATAACAAGAGACATAGATGCAAAAAAAAAATGTATCATCCACTGAGAGAAAATAAACACTTTACATAAAGTAGTTTAATACAAGAGAGAAATCAACTACAATGTTAACTTTGCCTTATACACTAAGAAGTTAATGTAAACTTACCTGCAAGGAGGCAAAACCATGGAGTCTTTGACAAGTACAGATCCAGAAAGCAGGATATACCAACATCTGGCAATAGTTTCTGAGCTGTTTAAATAAACAAGTAAATAAATACACACGCTCACTTATATATGGATTCAATATGAAATACACAACATGGAATATATCCTGATAATATTGCAAAAATCATTATAAAAACTATGTAACAATACTTGGAAACATGGGAAATTTTGAGCGTGGCCTAGGGTCTTGTAAAAACTGCATTTATATGGGGAAAAAAAGCAGATAATTCTTAACAGAACACTTATCTGTAGTAATAGAAAATGAAAGTGAAAACACATTTAAAACACTTTCAGAAAAATCCTCACAAATTAGCATGTTACCAAGGGGTGTGATAAAAATTATGTTTATTCATTTTTTAGTGATACTGACAATCATTACCAACATAAACTTTGTTCAAAACAATAGCGTACTATACAGTGCAAGCCATAAAAATGTTATATCCTTTATTCTCACAATTATTCCTGAGGAATTCACCACGAAGAAATTATTATTTCGGTATAATATAATTTTAAATAAATTAGTTTTTCTATTTAACTGTTTTCTAATTTTCCCATTATCTATGCAATAAAAATATACAGAACATAATCATAGCAGTAATCTAAACATCTCATACTGTTTAAATAACTAAACATCTAGTATTATGAATAGTTTTGTAATCATGGTACAATTAATATGACAGCTATCATACAATCATTATAAAATAGAGATACATTAAAATAAAATTGTATATAAAGCAGCAAAGAACATATGCATATCATAAAGAAAATATGAATACATACAAAAGAAATGACAAAAAACAGCATGGAAGAATTGGGATTAAGGGTGAATTACTATTATTATTATTATTAACTTTCAGATGGAAAGACCTGCTCAAAAGTATGTGTAGCAACCAGTTCTCAAGAATGTGGGGAGGGAAGGTAAAGGAAAGAATGCTGTCCTCCAGGGGAAATTCAGCAATTGATACATTCTACTGTTTTATATTTTATTTTACATTGGAAAATATTCTCTCACAAATATATGTTACTTCCAGGAAGAAATAGGGAAGACTAAGGACATCAGATGTTGAAAATCTACATATAGAAAACAAAATAATACCTTTATAGACAAAAGCTATTCACAAGTAATTATATTTATATGTATACATGATTTAAAATTTCATATAGCTTCACAGTCTGAATGAGTTTCTATTAATCTGACTGAAATAATTCTAATTTAAAGTCAATTAAAAGCCAGGGTGGTAGCTCACACTTGTAATCCCAGTGGTTTGGAAGGCCGAGGCCCTAAGCAACTCAGTGAGACCCTTTCTCTAAACAAAATATAATAAAGAGGTGGGGATGTATCTCAGTGGTTAAGCTTCCCTGGGTGTAATTCCCAGTACCAAAATAAATAAAGCCAATTAAAGCCACATTAAAGAACTTGTGCTTTATGATATTAAATATTTTTCTAAGTCATAAAACCACAAAGCATAACTAATGCTTTATATGCAATTCAATTACGTTTACCAAATGCTCTAATTTTTCAGATTTCCCGATTTAGCACTCGCCTGACAGAAGTGAATACTAAAATGTTATGTTGGATAAATCCTAATATAATATTGGCTAAATCCCCAAACTACCTTTGTTCAAGTCATACTCATTAACCAGAAACAGTAATGAAAGCACTTAAAAGAGCATCACATACTTTAAGAAAAACATTTCTCCTTCCTGCTATTATGAATTTTTACAATAAAAGAAAACTTACAGCCACAATAATTTCTAGACAAGATCTTACCTACCCCTAAGATAAAGAAACACCAACCACTCAAAGAAAAACATTGTTAAGAAGTCTTTAACTATCACCACAAAAACCTAGGTCTCCCTTGTTATCCTTCTTCTGTAAGTATCTAATCTGCCTAATCCTAAATGGACTAGTTTCTGATTAGTCTTTCTCCCAACCTTTTCATAGTCCTAAAACTCATCCACTAAGTCTATGAAAAATATTTTTTATTTTCAATGTGTTCTTAATATTTCCGGAGGACACTACTTCCTTTACAATCATTTAAAATTGGTGAATGTTTTCTCTTACACAGTACTCCTACCACTAGCCTAGAGATAGGACAATCTCTTCTATCTACTAATCAGTTTGAAACCATTGTTTTCCTCTCCTAACAACGCCCTGATGAATCTTAGATCATCAGATCATTCCATTCACTGTCCTTTTCTAATGCAAACTATTACGAACACCATGGTCCTCTCATTTCTTGTAGATTTTAATTCTTGACTTTTAAATACCAAATTTCACTGCATAATTGTCCCCACAGCATAACTGTTACACCCCATTTTTACTCAAAGCAAAAACCAGCTTACAGCTTTTCATCCACAATTATTCATGGTATAATTTTGTTCATCATGCCTCTTAAAACATAAATAAAGCAGCAGTGTACCCACCAGTGCCATACAGATGCGTTTTTGTCTTCTTGTGCACTGCAAGACACAAACTTAGAATTCTCAGCACAGGCCCATTGACACTAATTTTGGAAAGCCTAGCATTGCAGTACTAACGTATGAGTGGTGCTGCGGACTGCTTGTGAGGTAAGGAAAACAGTGAGGTTAGTCCATAATTTTTGGACACAGAAGACTAAATTGTCACAAAGAATGATGTGTGTTGATTTGGACTATTCAATTTTAATGAATGTTCACCAAGTATTCAGTGCATTCTAATACTGCACCAAAGACAGCTTATTAATAAATGCTTTTTAATACTAGCACAATTTTTTTTAGAAAGCTTCTTGTAAATGTTATGCACCATTTTTTTTTACCAAAAAATTTGGCATAAAAATCTGTGATGATTATGTGTTGAAATATGGTAAGCATTCTAACATTGTTTCTGTCTTTCCGAAATGACAGCCTCTGAATCACTTCATCTCTTCTTTAAAGATCTTTTCCTCTACTTTACTTCAGGCAATCACTTCCATGGCCAAACACAAGAAATCTTGCATTAGCAGTAACTATAAGACTTTCATAATCAGAAGGCTCAAGCATCCCACTGGATTCCTTCTAGTTGATTCTAACATTCAGACTTCCATAATCAATCTCATGTCTCTTTTCTATTCCCCCCTTTTGTACCTTTCATGTTAAGTTACTACTATCACTTCTTTGGAAAAACTCCCTTGATTCTCCCTACTTTCCTTTTATGTATTTAGTGAGCTAAATAAATCCAACTTTTTACCTACTCCACTTCTATACCACAGCAGAACATAGCTGATTAAAAATAAAAACCAAAAAACAACCATAACCATCACAGCCAGGTACACACCTATAATCCCAGCTACTGGGAAGGCTGAAACAGGAGGATACCAAGTTCAAGGTCCACATAAGCAACTCAGTGGGATACTGTCTCAAAAAAAATAAAAAGGGCTGGCGATATGATATAGGTCAGTGGTAGAGTACTCCTGGGTTCAACCACCAGTACCACAAACAAAATTACAACCATCACAAATTTCAAATGGGCTCTTAAAGTTGCCTAGCAACCATAATATGTTTCTGAACACATCCATTATCCTAATCTCTTCAAATAACAATCTCTTCTTCCTTATCTCAACTCTTGATTCCTATTTCACTGAGAAAGTAGAAATTATTAGAAGAAAAGTATATATCATTTAGTATTCTCAACTGCATCAAGATGTTTGTACTCTGCATGTCAAACAAAACAAAATTCTAAATACTTCCTAAGGGGAGACAGTATTTCTGTAACTTTTCATACAATGTCTGGCATTCAATTAAAATTACCATCCTCAGCCAGGTACAGTGCTGCACGCCTGTAATCCCAGTGGCTGGGGAGGCTGAGGCACTGATCACAAGTTCAAAGAAAGCCTCAGCAAAAGCAAGGCACTAAGCAATTCAGTGAGACCAATCTCTAAATAAAAATACAAACTAGGGCTGGGGGTGTGGCTCAGTGGTTGAGTGCCCCTGAGTTCAATCCCTGGTATACCACTAAAATTAAAAAAATAATAATAAAAATAAAAACTACCATCCTCACTAAGAATGGGATCAAAAAATTTAGAACCAATAATAAAAAGAAGTTAGTTTATCTAATACATTCAGGAAAACAGATAAGATCGAGAACTTGACCTAAGCACTGAGATCTACAGTAACAAAAAACAAGAATTCACAAAACAGAAGTAAGTTAGTAAGAACAGAGTAACAGAGAAAAAGAACAGCAAATACAGAAAAAAGTGTAAAGAAAATAAAGGACAAAATTAAAGAAAAAGAGAAAATAAGCAATAATAAAAAAATATTGGAAAGATTTTTTTCAAAATTGATAAAGCTACTAAATCAAAGAATCAAGAAGTTCTATAAACCCCAAAACAAAATAAATACAAAGAAAATCATATTTAGGAAAAATAGATACATCTAACTAAGCAAAAAGAAAAAAATTCTAGTGGTGGCACATGCCTGTAATTCTAGTGATTCAGGAGGTGAGACCACTCTCAGCAACTTAGTGAGGTCCTAACCAATTTATGCAGATCCTGTCTCAAAATAAACCATAAAAAGGAAGTCATGTACAACTAATTAAAACAAATTTTTAAAATAAAATAAAAAGGAAAAAGGGCTGGGATTGTGCCTCAGTGGTTAAGTGTCCTTGGATTCACACCCCCATACCAAAGTTTAAAAAAATAAATGAATAAATAAAATCCAGAGGTAGAAACAAAAACATGTTACCTGCAAAGGAATAATGTTACTGAGTCCTCAAATACACAGAACCCAGAACATGTCTTAAATGTATTAAAAGAAAAAAACAAAAACAAAACTGCAATGCTAGAATTCTGTCTGCAGTAAAAATATCTGTCTAAAACATTCTTGTGAAAAATTAAATGAAAGAATATACAAATAACAGAAAGATAATATTTATAAAAACATGGGTTCTCTCTTGAATGATTTAGATTTAATGCTACTCAACCCCCCAGCTGTCCAAAAGGTTTTTATGTGTGTATATATGTGTGGAAATTGATGAATTGATTTTAAAATTGAAGAGTAAAATACTAATTAAGACAATCTTCAAGAATAGCATACAAAATACATGCTACCAAATGTCAACATATACCACAGTAATTAATAATGGCATCAGATAGACAAATGGACCAAGATAAACAATACACACACACACACACACACACAATCACTTAGTTTAAAACAAAGCGGATGCTATACACAGTGATGCAGACATGTAATCCCAGCTATTTGGGAGGCTAAAACAGGAGGATTCATGTTTGGGACCAGCCTCAGCAACTTAGTAAGACACTCAAATAAATAAAAAGGGCAAAAGATGTAACTCGGTGGAAGAGAGTTCCAGGGCCCACACCAGTAAAACAAAGCAAAACAAAAAACCCACCCAACCAAGCAAAAATTCCATTAAAGTTCAACAGGGATATTTTTCAATATATGATGTTGGGTCAACTGGACATCCACAGAGATATATAATAAATTGTGACAATGATAAAATCCGAATTTTACTCAAAATTTAAATTATACATTATTGAACTTCCTACTTTCCTAAACTTTTTGGAAGAAATCAGGAGTGATAATAACTGTCATTTTTTATAATACATAAAATGTGTCAAATTATAAAAACAACATAACCTAGTACAACAAGCAATATTTTCCAAATGACTAAGACATAGTGTTATAAAATCAAACCTGGGTGAATAATTAATTAAAGTACATGACAGATCAATGATTTATAATGCAATGGAGTACCAAACATTCACTGATAAAGTCAGATTCCATACTGCAACTAACCTGTAAGAAACTTAACAAATTTTTGTATTATATGAAAGAAGAATATCCAAATTATTTGAAAATAATATGCTTATTATTAATAAGCTACTAAAATGCTTATTCTCCAACCTCTTCTGTTTCAGCTGGGATTGCATTTCTATACCACTGTGTGGAGCATCTACTTTGTTCTAAACTAAGTGATTGTATGTGTGTATGTCTTTCTAGTTTACTTTGTTTATTGGTCCATTTGTCTGTTATTGTTTTACATAACTATAAAAACTTTTTACTTGATTTAAAAAAATATATCACAGTAGATTGAAAGCAGACAACTATGAGAATCTGTCAACCACATATTAGATTTGCAAAAATGTAAATGGACTCATATCCTTAGCTATTTATATTTTTCATTTTGAGACAAGGTCTAGCTAAGTTGCTTAGGGCCTCACTAAATTGCTGAGGCTTGAACTTGCAATCCTCCTGCCTCAGCCTCTCGAATAGCTGGGATTACAACAGTGCACCGCCACACCTGACTTATTACTTTGAAATAAACATTTTTAAAATTAAGAGAAATAAATTTGGAATTTACACTCTGCACTGCCAACAAAAATAATTTCCAAAATGAACTGTAAAATGAATTTTGAGAGAAAAAACATAAAAACTTTTAAAGGAAACCTAAAGATTATCTTCACAATTTTAAGAGAAAGATTTGACTTTTTAAACAGGACATGAAAAGCACTAATCACAAAGAGACAAACTAACAAATTTAGGAATTTCTCTTCCTCAGAAGATGCCATTAAAAGAGTGAAGAAGAAAAACTGTACATGGTGGGAAGTATTTATAATAAGTATATCCAACAGAAGATTTTGATTCAGAATTAATAAAGAATATTTACATATAATAGAAACATGACAGATAACTCAAATGAAAAAAAAAAATGGTCAAAAACTTCCACCAGGATCTCCTACCAGAGGCTATCCAAATATCCTATAAAAACATTAAAATCATTCATCATCATTAGTAAATAGGGAGATGTAAAATACAATCACGAGATAATGTAACAATCAATAGAATGATTAAATTAGAAATAACCAAACAAAAAAACAAAACAAAACAAAAAAACCTGACAATTTCAAGAGCTGTCAAAGATGTGAAATAACCGAAACTTGTACTACACACAGCTAATGTCTACTGTAATTGAATCAGAAAAATGTCAGAATTTCCTAAAATTGAACATGGAAATTTCTAGGATTCTATTCCTAGGAATGTGCCTTACAAGAATAAGTACATAAGAGCATAAAAAGATGAGCAAAGTCTACAGAAACTTTACTATTCACAACAGTAAAACATTGAAAGTTACCCCAAATATCTACTAATAGTGGCATGGATGTTATTCTCACACAAATGTACACTGCACAGCAGTGAAAAAGAACAAATGCAAAACATTAAAAACCTAGGACAGATATCTGCTAAGTAACAAAAGCCTGACCAAAAGATTACCCATAAGTTCAAAAAGAGGTAAAAGTAATCTATGGTGACTGAAGTCACACTGTGGTAACTGTTCCTAAAGAAAGCTGATGAAAAGGTGGTATCTTCTATATTTTCATTAGTAACAGTAGTTACCCAGGTGTATATATTTATTAAAATTTGCTGCACTGGACACTTTGCATTCTATATATGTTATACTTCATTGTTTCTGATTATATTTCAATTTGATCTATGGCAATTATTTCAGAATCAAATGAATTTCAATGCTAAAAATCAACATTTAAACATAAAAGTCACTGATTTATAGTAATTGCGGAATACTTACCAAAAAAGAATCTGGTTGCCACTGTACTTTTCATAGCGTGCTCTTGCAGACATTAATCTAATATATTTTTAAAAAGTAAAAATTGTTTAAAATAGATTTTATTATAATAACACCAACAGAAAATAATCATATTACTAAATTTTCCCTAAACTAAGAGTTTAAAAATATATAATATAGTAATATTTTATAAGAGTAACTAGATAATATTAAATGGCATTAACCATAAAATTCTTACACACATTATAAAACCTGTCAATTCATACTGAATAAGCATTATGAAAAATTAGACCACTGTTTGGTTCACTACTATATCCTCAGTGTAAAGAACAATAATTATTAGCACAGGCAATGCACATACAAAAAAATTTGTTAAACACATTTACATTTAAAAAATACTTTTAATATTACTAACTCCTCTGTTTTTATTTGTATTCTTTCTACCTGATATACTTATTTGATATAGAGTAACACCTCAATTATGTTATATAGAAAAAAGAATAAATTAGAAATAATCTGGTCCATAATCAGAAACAGAACATCCGGAAAAGTAGTCAGATAAATAGGTCACGAAGAAAAATGTTTAACTAAAATGTTATACAAAATTACAAGAGTGTTTTACAGTTCTTTTACAGTAAAAGTTGTACAAATATAATCACAGTGATGTAAGATAAACAGGTAGATAGCCCAAACTGCAGGAAAAAATGAGGTTCAGAAAAGTTGATGCTGTCTTCTTCACAGGGATTTGTGCCAAATCAAGTGCCTTGCTCCTTTCACTTTAATACAAGATATCATGATCATCTTAAGCATTTGGTATCACAAATACTAATACAAACTCCAAAAAGAAAACAGTTTTATTTTCACTAACTAGTACATACCAAGCACTATGCTTTTCTTTAGATTCTTACTCTCATTTAATCTTCAGAACACTGTAACAAAGACACTTTTATTTATTTTTATTTTTAAAAAATTTTTTTGAATATTTTTTAGTTGTAGTTGGACACAACATCTTCATTTATTTATGTGGTGCTGAGGATTGAACCCAGGGCCTCACAACTGCTAGGCGAGCACTCTACCACTGAGCCACAACCCCAGGCCCCGACACTTTTAGTATCTCTACTTTTGAGAGACTAAACTGCAGCCTAAAAGCCTTGGTCAAGGCTCTATTGCTCAGGAAAAAATAAAAATTCCTGCTGGGCAAGGTGGCATATGCCTGTAATCCCAGAGGCTGAGGCGGGAGGATTTCGAGTTCAAAGACAACCTTAGCAAAAGTAGGGGCTAAGCAACTTAGAGACCCTGTTTCTAAAAGTATAAAAAGGGGTCCCCGCCCATGTGGCTCAGTGGTTAAGCGTTCCTGGGTCAATCCCCACTACCAAAAAAAGGGGCAAATTCTTAGGCTAGGGGTATGGTTCTAAGATGTGCGAGGCCTTGGATTCAATCTCCAACATAACTAAAAAAGGAAGAGGAGAAGGAGGGGAGGGGAAAAAAGGGGGAGGTGGAGAGTCAAGGAGAAGAAGAAGGAGTAGGAGGAGAAGAAATGTAAATTTCCATGACTATCCAACAAACATCAAATGACTTGGCCCCTATAACCACCATCCAAACTCATTTTCTACAATTCTCCACCTCTCTTTTCTCTCTGTGTTCCAGCTCCAAAGCCCTCTCTCTTGGCTTAGCTTCCTTCTGTCATTCAGGTCTCTATTTAAAAAATTACTTCTTTTGAGAGGTCTTCACTGACCATCTAAATTCAAGTAGCTACTCGGTTTATTTCACACCACTGTGCTTTATTGTATTCACAGTACTTATAATTCCTGGATATTATATACAGTTTTTATAGTGTTTTCCCACAACCCCCAAATCCCACCCCACCAATACAAAAACCAAAGGAAAGTAGGGATCTAATCTATATTGTATATGTCAAGTACTTAAAACAGTATGAGAAATAGGAAAGGAGATTAAATGAATGAATAACTGCATGGCACATGCTCTTAAACACAATACCACACTTACCTAAGCTGATGCTCCCTGAGATTTGACAATATTTCCATTCCATGAAGATAAGAATAAATAGTATTTAAGTCCTGTGGAACAGAAAGGAATTTATTTTTCACATATACTATTTAAAACATAATGGCACCAAACAATTCTGATTTTAAGCACACACATATTTATCACAGAGCTGTTAACTATGGAAGAGACAGAATGGTAAAAGACCTGAATAAGAAAAAGCTCCCTCAAAAAAAAAAGAGCTCCCTCTATTTGCACAGGAACAACTCCTCAACACAAACACATCAAAAGCCAAACACACATTATTTAATACAAAAATATATGAACTCATTATTTTATTTCCAAGTAAAGGTAACCTTTTCTTTTTCAGTGACAACAAACTATTTGAAAACAATTATCTCATCCTCGTTAATTTTTTTTGTTTTCTCTAGATTATATAATCTCAATATTTGCAGATTCCATATCTCTAAGCAGCCTGGCTGACCACCCCTTTTTAAGACCCACTTTATTCGTATTCCATTAAAATATGACTTTCTAAAGAATATCTCTTTCTAAAAGAGAATGAATGAATAACTGAATGGCACATGAAAGTTGTATAATCTACCACTAAATGAAATTATATTCAATGGACATTGTTCACTCTTTGAAAGAGATAGGGAATCTTTCTTTAGCCCTCACTCAGATAACCAGGAGTAAAAAACAAACAGAAGTATCCAGGACAACACAATATAACATCAACTAAGAGCAACAATACAGCAGCTCAGTGGCCAAGTGCTTGCCTAGCAAGCACCAAGCCCTGGGTTCAATCCCCAGTACCAGCACAACAAAAAATAAATAAAACCCAACAAAAAGGGTCATTTGCCTTTAAAAATAAATAAATAAATAGATTAAAAAGGAAAAAAAAAAAACCCAACAACAAACAACATGAGACATGAGAGTAGTAGACATCCCTGGAAAGGAGTATTTTACCACTGACATTATTTAAGATTACTGGTTAGTGATAATAATAATAGATTAGCTTAAATTCTGCACATAAAATGTACCTTTTTATTCCGTTATGAGAATAATGCTCTTATATAAGGACAGACCATTCCCAAACACTGCCACCCAAATTTTGATATGCAACTTGCCAATTATCAGATGACAATAAAGAAGAAAAGAAACTAAGATAAGCTTTCCAGTAGGTTATTAAGACAACTAGCAAAGACTAGTGTCACAAATAAATACACTTAAAATATGCAGGAGTTATGATCCTTATCATACCTTTTTAATATGTGTGAACCCTGCAGCAGAAAGCAAATGGATCCTAAAAAATGACTATCACAGATTTAATCAAATTCCAGCCCTAATTGCATCTGTAATCCCAGACAAAATATTGTTACTGAAGCTAGGCAATCCTCAAATAGTGCTGATTTGGTGAATGCATCCTTTTCCATTCCAATTATAATTTAAGATCAGAAAAAGTGTGTGTTTATGTGGGGCAATTCTAAATTATATTTGCTTAAAGCTATTTTAATTTGCCCACTCTGCTACACCATAGTCTGCAGATATCTACACCTCATGATCTATTACACAGATGACATCATACTGACTGGAGAGAATTAACATAATAATCCACAGGTGGTTGATACTACAGAGTACTAGGTAATACACATATGCTCCAGAAGTTGGGAGATAAACATTATGAAGATTCACAGACCTGCCACTTAAGTTTTTTAGGGGTGGTTAGGGGCACTTCTGGACATTCCCTACAAAGCAAAAGACCAACTGTTACAACTTCAGCTTTAGGTCAAGATGTAATAAGAGGAAATAAACTCAGTATCCACTTAAAACTACTAAAAGTAAACACAAATATAGGAAAAAAACATTTTTCGATAGGGTATTAAGAACCAAAGAACAGTGGCATCTGAAAGGGAATAAACAAATGAAGTGATACAAATGATTACTCCACCTCATTACCTGGTAGTATCTTGAGTTGAGAAAAAGCTGGACCCAGGAAGTAGAAGTGACTAAAATTTGCAGAGCAGGAAGGAGATGCATAGGGAGCTACATACAAAATGTGTTCCAGAAATCTACAGAAGATTCTCTTGAGTCTTGAGTAAGTATGGATCATGGCATGCATGTGAAGAAATATTTGAAGTCAGGTTAAAAAGGAAAGTACCTAAAAGGACTGATGTAGTAGTCTTCATTGAGGACTGATTTTGTCATTGCTGAATGACATTTAGCAATGTCTGGAGACATTTCAGGTTATTGCTACTGGTGCTACTGGTGGTGGTAGAGTGTGACTGGCATCAAGTAGATAGAAACTAAAGATGTTGCTAAACACCTTATAATGCACAGAACAGAATTATCTGGGCCAAAATGTTGAGGCTAACCTCAACACCCTGGGTAAGAGGGAACAAGATCCACAATGTACACAGAAACAGGGACAGTTCATGTTCTCACCATACAAGTCTTTAAGATCTCCTAATTCACAGCACATATAATGGAGTACTTAGAAGGCTTTGGACTCGATTTGGGGGCAAAATTAATGACTTTTGCATCAGTTGATCACATATACAAAGGTATTCCTGTAAAATTATATGGCCTAGTGACATCATAGCCATCTTAATTTATGTAAGTATACTCAATGATGTATATACTCAATGATGGATAGCACCAAGTGCTATCCTGGTGCTATATAACATTATAACATAGCTCAAATATATGATCCAAGCCAAGTGCAGTGACACACGCCTGTAATCCTGGAAGCTCAGGAAGCTGAGGCAGGAGGATCACGAATTTGAAGCCACCCTCAGCAACTTAGTGAGACACTTAGCAACTCAGGACATCCTAAATAAAATACAAAAAGGACTGGGAATGTGGCCCAGTGGTTAAGCACCTCTGGGTTCAATCCCCAGTACCAGAAGGGGGAAAAAAAAAAAAAAAGCTTGTTTCCAAGTTACTTAAAGGTGCCACAAACAGTTTCAAACTATTTTCAAGTTACTTAAATGAGTCCTAGAACAAACCTCAAGACTATTTATAGAAATACAAAAATACCTGGCACATATAAAATTCACAGTTTCTGGTACCCAGTCAACTATTACCAGACATGGGAAGAAAACTGAAACAAATAAATTCTGAAAAGGAAGACAAATCAAAACTGACTAAATCATCACATGCAGAATAGAATTTGTTGAAAAAGACATTTTAAAGTGTGTTATGTATATATATCCCATGTGTTCAAGATAATACAAAAGAATAATCATATAAGAATATACTTAAAAATTAACTACCAAAGATAAAAAAAACAATGTATGAGATAAAAAAAATACATGGGATAAGACTAACAACACAGTAGACATTAGAGAAGACTTATAAATTGAAAGACAGCAATAGAAATTAAAGAGGAAAAATTTAAAAGAGACCAAAATAAAAACCAGCTAGAGAGCACATGCCCCAGTAAGCCACTGGATAATTACAGTAATGCTATGAGAAAGGGAGAACAGAAAAAAAAAAAAAATTGAAGAATCATGGAAAAATATTCCACATTTGATGAAAACACTTAATTCACATACCCAAGAAGCTCAACAAACCTCAATCACAAGAAATAAAATAATCCCAAAATACATTATTAGAAAATTGCTTAAAAAGAGGAATAAACAGAAATTTGTAAAAGCAGCCAGAGAAAGAAAACAAATTACAAAATGAGGAACAAGAATTAATATTATAGCAGACTTGTCAGAAAAAATGCAATCTAAAAAACACTGAAGTAACATCTTCAAAGTCCCAAACAGAGGACAGGGAAGAACACAAAACAAAAAACCTATAGACCTAAAATTCTATTTCTAGTCAAAATACCTTTCAAAAACCAAGGCAAAATATTTTTCAGATTAACAAAATCTGAACCAATTAATCACCAGCAGACCTGCTCTTTAAAAAATAAAGTTAAAAGTGTTCATGAGGTGGAAGATAACACCAGATGAAAATCTAGCGGGTCACATGTTGCTTCATTATTGGGATACAATCTAGGAAATGTATCCTTAGGTGATCTCATTGTGCAAACATCATTGAGTATACTTACATAAATTAAGATGGCTATGATGTCACTAGGCCATATAATTTTACAGGAATACCTTTGTATATGTGATCAACTGGTGCAAAAGTCTTTAATGTGGTGCTTGAACAAATTTAAAAGATAACTGATTACTTAAAGCAACAACATATTACAAGGTTTATAACATGTAGAACTGAAACGTCCCTCTAAATTCAGGAGGTAAATATGGAGGCATACTGTGTGTAAGATTCTTACACAATATATAAGTTAGTGTAAGATGCACACTATAAGCCCCATTAACAACTCCCATAATAATAGAAGAATTAATAGCTAATAAGACAACAAAGGAGATAAAAATAACAACTTAAAAGGCAAAAAAAGTAGAAAAGGGGATTCAAAGAATGACACAAATTAAAAAGAAACAGCAAGTGGTAGATTTTAAACCTAAGCATATTACATAAAATGTAAATGGTCTAAACACACAAATTAAAAGGGAGAGACTGTCAGACTGTATGAGAAAAGCAAAACACAATTACATGTAGCCTACAAGAAACCCATTTCAAATGTTAAAGATTAACTGCTATATTTTACACCTCCTCCAAGGAATAAGGAAGCACAGCGTTGGGGAGTACTTGCCTATATCATTCATGAAATCCTATATTTTAATCCCCAGTACTGAAAGGAAAAAAACAACAACAACAACAAAAAGGAAGCAATGTGACTAGCAGGTACCACATTCTACACCCAGAAATACTGTTCTGGGTGCCACAGAAGACCATCAGCTTTGAGTATGGCTTCAAAAAGTAAAGTGATCTGCAGAAGGTCCAGACTATAATGCAAATAACCTTGACACTTGCATCACACAATACAGGCAGTAAGAGTGGTGGAAAAAAATCTAGCAGACACCAGGCACAAGTTTCCAAAAGTCCTCTCTCCCAGGAAAGTCACCAAGTAGATGCAATTAATTCCTCCAACATTAAAGTGTAACACCTGTGAGGTGTCTAAAAACATAAAATTAAAAAAAAACAAAAACAAAAA